GGTGGCTCCTCTGCACAATCTGGTGGTGGCACACACCTTATCATGTTGTTAATCTATCTATCTGTGATGGTTCCCGGATTGTAGGGTCCCGTAGCGAAAACTGTCTGTTCGCCCCGGCTTGGCTTTTCCCCCACGCGTCGATAATTTATGACCGCCATCGAGTTGTGGGAATTTTGTGCGGAATTCTGGAATTTGGGAATTTTCAAGTTTTTAACCTATATTTTGATTAGATTTCTACGCTGCTTTAATTTTTAATTAAAAAATGCAGAGTTCGATACAACTTAACTTTTAATTTAAATTATTTAAATTTTATAATTCCGAGTTTCAATAATCCCAAAAAGTCGAAAACCAAATTTTCACGACACCGAATTTCAGAATCCCAACAAAGCATCATTGGAAAATACTGACATTTAGATACACCGAAAAATGCCGAATTTCACGCGCAATATCTAAATTTCGGTTTTGTCAGACCTGACGAAAATTCGGCATTATCACATGTCGGTATTCTAAGGGCCCTTTTTTGCCATTTTTTGACATTTGACATTCCGATGTCGGTATTAATGCGGCATACCAAAGTTCTGCCCGCGTTTTTCCTGACCTGGGGCACGTTTCAAGTCGTCTTTCGGGATCTCTTTCCGCCTGTTAAGCCCTTCAACTCCTCAGCTTTTCGTGTTTCCGCCCCCACTCTCTCGGCCAACTGTTCGGGTTGATTGATGGGGCAAATTGGGCGATGATTTTTGATGTGTTGTTTGTTCCCCCAGTGGATAAGGGTAGGCCTCGTTATTTGACTGTTCTTTTCTTCCTCATTTTGTAAGAACAATACGGTAGTTTTAGGTTTTTTATCTCTCGCTCCCTTTCTCTTGCACCCACTCTTTCGCTCTCTAGCTCTCTCGAGAAAAATCTAGCTAGATTTGGTTGGAAAAACCACTTTAAAAACTCCAGAAATTTGAGAAATTCGAATTTGGTTTTGTCCTGATAAGCTTCCCCAATCCTCCCCCCCCGATAACGCAAAAGAACCGATATTTGGCGTTCCTGGAGTCCTAATTACGCAAATTCCTAAATTTGAGCCCACATCTAGCTGGATCAAGCCCGGAAATCGAAGCCAGAGGCAAATATGTTTGGATGTATCGGGATCGGGGGGCTTTGGCCTGTTTGACCATCCCCGCCTCATTTCAATTCAATGCTGTGTGGGCCGCCCCCCCGGGTCTGTCGACACATCCAAATGCACACATGCACCCCCCGAATATAGCGGCTTCATCCCCGCGGTCGGCGCCTTTCATTTTGCCCCCCTATTCCAAGCAAATAGTCAAACGGCGGCCCGGAATTTATTGGTTTTTTTAAATAATATTTTCGTTTTTCTCATTGTCTCTCTCGCCCTCTCTTTCTCTCCCTCCCTCTCTCTCTCTCCTTCTCTCTCTCCCTCGTCCGCTCGCTCTCTAACGGGCTCTCTCTGTGTGTCTCTCTGTATATCTCGATAGGAATGTGTCGCTCTCTCTCGCTCTCATACTCCCTCTCACTCTCTCTCTCTCTCTCGCTCTCTTTTTCTCTGCGTCTTTCATTCGCTCTCTCTCTAGCGCTCTCACTCTTCATTCTCTCTCTACCTCTCTCCCTCTCTCTCTTTCTCTCTCGCCCTTCATAGTACCATTCGAACACCAGCGTGATTACAGGCAACCCTTATCTGCCCGCACCACTCCGATGCCGTGATTCCGCGCCAATCCTATAATTTGACACCCCCACTCGATGCGTGGATTCCACTACACTACGCCACGCTCCTCTGCACACTGTCCGTTTCCGCATCCGGCCCGTGGCCAACTTGCCAACCACTCGCACAATACGCCCAAATGGACACGATTTTGTATGCTGTAGTACACCCTACCGATTTGTGTTTTACTAACATGGAGTTTTTGTGAGGGTGTGGAATGAGATGGATCTGTTTAAGAGGGGCGAGAGAGAGCGAGAGAGAGAGAAAGAGCGAAAGAGAGAAAGAGAGAGAAACTGAGAACGAGGGAGAGATAGAAGGAGAGTGAGAGAGAAAGAGGGAGAAACTGAGAGAGAGCGAGAGATAGAAAGAGAGAGAGAGTGAGAGAGCGAAAAGTAGACAAGTGCAAAGCCCTTTTTCAAGCCCTTATCTTTCCCGAACGGCTTCCGATCGCCCCAAAACGCGTCGCATCGTAAAAGGCGGTCAAATTTTTGTGCAAAGTACATTTCCCAGTAATGTAAATGTCATTTTTGACATTTTTCGTTATTTTCTAGCTTGTAGTTTCGCAAAATCATTCAAAAAAGCTGCCGAAATTCCCGTAGTAAATCAATTTAATCAATCCGATTGCCGTGTCGCCATATTTTCAGTTGACTACGCGACGTTCCGCATCCGTACGCCCACCCCCCGCCCCCCACTTTTCCACCTGACCGCCTCCTGTCACTTTTGCGTATGCATATCATACCCCCAGGGGGGGGGGGTAGATCCCCGCTTCATCTTGGGTTGTCCGAGCTGTCCGAGCCGTTCGTTCCCCTGCCCGTCCACCCCACTCCACACGATTATCCGTTTCGTTCCAAAAACCGAACCCGATCCCCCCGCTGCCCGCCTTTTTATATCCCGATCCGATCGGCTGGCATTAAGCGGGCGGGGGCACTTTTTAGTATCCTTCACCCGGCTACACCCCAGAAGGCAAAAGTCTGGCCACCAGATTTCTATTCCTATCCTAATTTTTCTTAGCTTGCACTCGGAAACGCGAGGCGCCGCACCTTGCACTTTGCTTGAGCTGCAAACTGTGCCGTGATTTTTTGGAATTGGAATTTTTTGGTTATACTAACACAAGAATCACTCTCTTCCTCTCTGTCTCTCTCAATCACTCTCTCGCTATCTCTCTCTCTCTCCATCTCTCCCACAGCTTTCTCGCTCTCTCTCTCTCTCTCTCTCTCTCTCTCTCTCTCTCTCTTTTCTCTCTCTCGTTCTCTCTCTCTCTCGTTCTCTCTCTCTTGCACTATTCGCACTTTGCATCTACAAAACGCACCATATCACTCACCCCCACTCGCACCCCCACGAAAAATCGCACCAACCTCACCCCCACTCGCACCGACGCACCATACGCACTCCACCAGTTGGCACCCGACGCACCGTACACCCCCGCAATTGCACCTGTCCGTCCACCCCCCATTTTTTACGCGTTTTTGATTGCTCTATCGGCTTTCCCCGAAAACGCTACGTTCCACGCCAATACACACCGCTCGAATTTTTTTCACCGAATGATGATAAAGCCATTTTCTTTGCCAACCAGTCACTGCCCTCCCGAGTTGCACCGGCTAGAATTGTTGAATGCAATGCAAGCACACACCATCACCACCCTGGAATGCAATTATGCCGAAACACACGAATTTGCACGGCTTGAATTTGCGTAGTGGGCGTGGTAGAGGCTGTAATGTCGACAGCTAGAATGCCGACGGCCGAAATATCGACAGCGAAATCCCGACATTCCTTGACGCTAGTTGAATGGCATCACCTTCATGAAACCATTTTGCCTGTCGGGATTTTGGATGTAACGATCTTGATTTTCGGCATTTTGGCTGCTGGTATTTTGGCTGTCGGCATTTTGCCGTCTTTCCCTAGTAGAACGTACACAGGCGTGGATTTAAGAAATGAGGATCTAGGAAAATTGATTTAAGTAAAGGAATTGGCAGGCGGAGACAGAGCGAAAGAGAAAGAGGGAGAGAGCGAGAGGGAGAGAGCGCGAGAGAGACAAAAATTCGAACCCGTCAAATCTGCACGCAAATGCACCAAAAACCTGGCGACTATACTTTGAAAACTTGACAAATTTGAACCCTGGATATGACACAAAATTGCAAATTCTACAGAAAACTCACAAAAAATGGGTTTAAAAGCGAAAAATAGTCGATTGGCTTACTGTAGGTACCGGCCGGGTGGCGGGAAGTAAGTTGTCGTTTAGTTAAAGCTCCCGCAAAAATTGGCACAGCAAAAGTTGGGTTTGGTTGAGAGAAAGAGAGAGTGAGAGAGAGAGAGACAGAGAAAGAGAGAGAGAGAGAGACAGAGAGAGAGATCGAGACCGATCAACCACTCGCAAAAAGCTGTTTTTATCATTTTTAACTTTTAATTTTAATTTATTATACTTTCCTATACCCTATCCGCTTTTACGAGCACAAAAACTACGCATCACCACTCTGTTCAATCAGTCCCCGCGGCTGCCCCGATTTTCCGACACAATACACATCCACGCAGCCCGCATGCTTGCCCATTTTCCCCTTCGAAAGCACACCCCGGCCCCAATTCAGAGTCGCTGACCTACGCATGGTACGTTGGAGGGAGTACGGAACGGTTGAGGAAACAGGATGAGAGGGTGTTTGTGTCATTGGACGGGACGCTGCTCTTCTCCCATGTACTTGCCGATGATGATGAGAGGTGGGGAGGAGGATTTTGGAATTTTAAGGGAGGGTGAGCTTCACGCGTTGTGGGTTGAGAGAGAGAGAGGAACGAACGAGCGAGACCGAGTGAGCAGGGGCGAGAGAAAGAGAGAGGGAGAGAGGCGAGAGGGAGATAGAGAGTGAGAGTGGGCGAGTGAAAGAGAGTGAGAAAGAGAGAGCGAGATAGTGAGAGGGAGAGAAAGCAAGGTAAAGAGAGGGATAGAGCGAGAGTGAGAGCGAGAGTAAATTGGGCGAGACAAAGACAAGAACTCAGAGAGAACGAGAAAAGGTGAAGAGAGAGAGTGAGCGAGAGAGATACAGAGGCCAGATAGAGAGACACAGATATATAGAGATAGAGAGAAAGAGAGACAGAGAAAGAGTGAGAGAGGAGAGAAAGAGAGAGACGGAGAGCGAGAGAAAGAGAGAGAGAGAGAGAGAGAGAGAGAGAGAGAGAGAGAGAGAGAGAGAGAGAGGTTCCTCAACGCTCTTTGCTAGCCACCTTCCGAGACTTTACCAATGATACCTTATAATCCACGATTTCAGTTACGCCTGCTCCCTCTCACTGGCCTCAACCTCATCCGGTCACTATGGTCCATTCTTCCGGCTTCGAATACCACCTGCGGTCCTCGCGTCACCGGCAAGGTATCATATTTTACTTGTTTTTAACCTTAAAGGGCAAGAAAAGTTGTCATCACCACTTTTTCAGGGAAGCCTTCGCCCCCCCGACTCGAAGCAGGACACCCCCAATATTTCCCCGACCGCCCAGCAACTGGCGATACCGTATACCTGGAGTGCTTTGCGTACGGAAAGTAAGACATTTTTTAGAATCGATATATCTGGCGTTGTTCAGCCCGGTGCCGACGTACCGTTGGACCAGGGTCGATGGGAAACCACTACCAGACCGTGCCACGGCGATGAACTTCGATCGGGTGCTGAAAATTGAGAATGTGCAACCGGGTGATCAGACCAGGTTGGTTGTTGGGGCGACGTTTTCTAGCAGTTCAGCAACCCACGGGGATTATAATTGAATTCTAGATACAAATGCACGGCGGCCAACGTGAAAGGGGTTGTGGCTGGGGAGGTTACGTTGTTGCTCTCCGGCGCACCCACTGTACTCCTTCCCCTCGCTGATAGGCTGGTGTCAATAGGCTCGGAATGGAGCTTGGAGTGCACCTTGCCGACGTCGGACTTCAGCTCCCAGGTGGGTAGAAAGGAGTTGAACTTGACGATGATGTTGTTAGGTGGAATGGTTCCGGAATGCACGGCCGTTGGTACCCCTGCTGATGCCCGCCAAGGACCGAAAGCGATTCGTCGTGGATCATAATGTGTAAGGGAGAGAGAGAGAGAGAGAGAAATAGAAAATGAGATGGATAGAGGGGGGAAGAGAGATTACCACAATTTCAGCCTGAACGTGCTCAACACGACGCCCAACGACACTGGGGTCTATGAGTGCATCGTCGGGAACGAGGTATGTGGATGTTGTAGGCAATGGCGGGTAAAGCACGCCTTCGAGCAGTTCAGCTCAAATCTAAGAGCAGGTGATACAGGAGCAGATAACAGAGAGCGAGGGAGAGCGATAGAGAGGGAGAGAGGGGGAAAGAGAGAGAGCGAGAAAGAGAGAGAGAAGGAAAGAAAGGAAGAAAAATACTTAATTACTGTAGAAATTTTCATTAGATCTAATGCTCAATATCAAAAAGCAAGTTTAATCTTCATGAAGTTCTAACCAAAATTTCAATTTCGGATGGGCTCCACCGTCAGCTCAGCCTTGGTGACGGTAATGGACGCGGCACCAGAATTCCCTCCCATGGCCATGCCGTCGAAGGTCTTTGCCACGAGGGGCAGCACTTTGGTCAGTACCCATTTTAAGTAGATGTTAATGAAAGAAATCTCGAAAAACCTATCCTTTCTTAGAGTCTACCTTGCGTCTACCGAGCCTCCCCGATGGGGACGGCCTTTTGGTCGGATGGTGGCGGAAATGAGCTGCCGGGGAAGGGACGAGTTCGGGATCAGAATGGACTGTTGGTCATCGAGGATGTGGTCTCGGGTAAGCCTGAGAAAAACGACTGCAATTTCGTTGGCTACAACACTTTGTTTCGGCGCTTCAAGGTTAAAATATCATCTACATCTAGACGATGCCGGGCTTTTCTTTTGCGTGGCACGAAACCACCACGGGAAGTCGCACGCCGCGGTGACGCTGATCGTCAACGGTAAGGATTTTCAGTAAAAGAATGAAAGGCGAAACTAAGCCAAACCTAAACCCTAACAAGGAGATGGTCTCAGCTCGACACCGAATTTCGATTTGAAAATTTGCACACTGATAGAGCTCGACGAGACGAATCGATTGGTGTAACTTTCAGCTGCCCATACTATAAAATAGCCGAGTTATAAGCATTTTAAGTTTTTGCATACATTTTGCATTGAATCGCCCTACCTTCATAAGCCCTCCCCCTTCCCCCATCACCGTGGCCTGGTGGCCTAGTGGCGTAGTCGGCGGCGTATGGGGAATCTATTGAAGGTTCGTACCCGCTCCCGATTTTTATTTTTTGCTTTTTGGCACAAATGCTGCCATTGGTGTTCTGAAGGCCTGGAATCAGTTCGTATTACTTATTTTAACTCTTGCAAGGCGCAGAGCCCAAAATACCTTACCATCAAAAATTTTCGAACTTAACATCGGACCTATGAGCAACCTATGAACATCATTTTCAAAAAAAATTGCGGCAATGAAAAATGCTTGCTGACAGACAACGCATTCACCGTAAATTATATTGATTCTTAACTTTTTGTTCTATTTTTAATTTTGTTGCTGGGACAGTGCTGAATGCCCCTTTGGATCACAAATCCAATTTCTGAAAAAGATGTTTTATGGTCACTGCGCCTTGCAAGAGTTAAAATAAATAATACGAACTGATTCCAGGCCTTCAGAACACCAATGGCAGCATTTGTGCCAAAAAGCAAAAAATAAAAATCGTGAGCGGGTTCGAACCTTCAATAGATTCCCCATATGCCGCCGACTACGCCACTAGGCCACCAGGCCACGGTGATGGGGGAAGGGGGAGGGCTTATGAAGGTAGGGCGATTCAATGCAAAATGTATGCAAAAACTTAAAATGCTTATAACTCGGCTATTTTATAGTATGGGCAGCTGAAAGTTACACCAATCGATTCGTCTCGTCGAGCTCTATCAGTGTGCAAATTTTCAAATCGAAATTCGGTGTCGAGCTGAGACCATCTCCTTGTAAGCCAAAACCTGACATAAGCTCACGAAGCCGGATAAAACTCGATGCTTACAAAAATGCTTACTGTAGACTAAACCCAATTTCAACCAAACCTTGAAGGGTGTTTGAAATGCGGGAGAGAGACAAAGAGAGAGAGAGAGAGAGAGAGAGCCAGCGGGCGAGAGAGCTTAAGCCCAAACCTTGGCCTGTTCCTTAGCCCAATCAACCACCGCCATTTCAGAAAAGCAAGAAATCCGCGCTCGAAACGGATCGACCGTAGAGGGCCCAGGGAAAGGTGTTTCCTGTGAGGTGGAATATGGCGAAGAAGCCCTACGAAAGCCCGCATTCTGCCGCTCAATCTTTGGCGAGCCGGACGGCATCTCGATTGCTAAAGCCTCACCAGCAGCTCCATTAAAGGTATCACTACTTCCAATCGTTTTTAATGTGTAGTAAACACCTTATAAAATTGCGACTAATTAATACTACAGGTAAACGCCGTGAACATCTCCCGGTTTGGCGTCGACCTCTACTGGGTGTTGCCACCGCATCATCGGGAGACGAGGCATAACTCGGTAGGAATTGGGTGGACCCGAGTTTTAGCAAGGTTTTAGCAACCGGATGAGGCGTTTTTGGTGGAAGTGCGGTCGAAGACGGATCGAAGGTGGAAGCCCGTCAGCCGGTCGATGATCAGCCCCGTCGACAAGGCCACGGATCGGACGACGATTGATGGGTTGAAGCCGAATGAGGGATATCAGGTATGAGAAATGTGTTCTGATTTCCGATATATCTCTCTCTCTCTATCTCTCTCTCTCTCTCTCTCTCTCTCGCTCTCTCTCTCCTCCGAGACGCTTTCGCCTTCTTTCTCACGCTTACTCTGACGCTCCATCCAGCTTTTGCATAAGTAATGTGGAGCGCTGCGTAGCTGTCGATAACAAGGCAACGGTGAATAGTTATTTTGGGCTTCCCGAACCCTTTAAAATAGCTCTTTCAGTTCCGAGTCCGATCCGTGGCCAGCGGACAAGCCGGTGACGCGTCAGCCCCATCAGATTGGGTCCACACCCCACCACAACCACCCCTGGAAGCACCGCAGAGCTTGTCTTGGAAAGCCCTCGACCAGAGCACCCTCTTTGTCGAGTGGGACGCTGTCGAAAAGGTAATTTAGGCCTTTGATTCTTAACAAATCCTTCCAGGACCATCCCTCTGGTGAACACCTCCGCTACGTCGTCACATGGTCCGAAGAACCTGCCGAGAGCCCAAAAAAAGACGAAGATGACGGGTCGAAAAAGTACGAGCTTGAGTCGGACCATCCGGCGGTCCTGGTCAGGCTCAACTCCACAGCCGGCTGCCGGGCCGTCGTGCTCGAAGTCCGCGCGGTGAACGACGCGGGCCCGGCGGACATCTCCACGGACGCGGTGGCCTTCGTGAACTCGCGGGGATCGATGCGGCACGTGAACATCTCCAGCATCAGTGCTATAAATGCTACCCACGCAAACGTGTCGTGGACGTGGCACGGCGCGTCGGACTGTGATGTGGCATTTGCGGTTCAGGTGGGTAGACGAGTAATAAGGCTTGGGCTTGGGCTTAGGCTTGGGCTTGGGCTTAGGCTTAGGCGTAGGCTTCGCTTAGGCTTGGGCGTAGGCTTACTACACGCTCAATCTAGACATCACACTCAACCTTTACACTACGAAATCCTTTCAGATCGAGTGCTTCTCCGCAGAACACCATGTCGGTCCCCTGACCGTCTCGGCGTCGTTGACGCGCTGGGTAGTTGGAGGCTTACATCCGTTGACGATATACAGATGTGCCCTGATCCCAGTGGATCCAAGCGGACGCCAAGGCTCTCGCACCGAGACCGAAGCCATCCGAACAGCAAAACCTCCACCCCCTGCGGCGCCTGAAATTGGACGCCTTGGCCTCGCCGCCATGCCGGACGGTCATTTCACGACAATCATCGAGTGGAGCGCCGTCGAGCTCGGGAATGCCAGCGAGATCAACGACTTAGGATATAAAGTGGGTGATCATGTCCAGAAAAGGGTTACGGATCTGGTTCTAGATTTTTGTTTACATCTCGGAGACGGCGTCCGATGCAGTGGTGCTCGATATGCCCTTGAGGGCACTGGTTGATCCGCAACAACCTTCGGCACGGCTGGATGGGTTGCGGTTGATGTATAAATACACTGTGCAGGTGAGGAGAGAGATAGAGAGAGCGAGCGAGAGAGAGAGAGAGAGACAGAGAAGGAGAGACAGCGCGTGCAATAGAGTGCCAGAGTCAGAATGCTAGAGAGCGAGAGTTTGAGATAAATAGGGAGAGCGAGCGAGCGAGAGAGCGAGAGAGAAAGAAAGAGAGAGAGAGAGAGAGAGAGAGAGAGAGAGAGAGAGAGAGAGAGAGAGAAAGAGAGAGAGGAGAGCCAGAAAAATACAAACTTTTCCATCCCAGGTCGCCGGCTACAACTCTGGCGGTCTCGGCCCAAGAAGCGAAGCCCGCTCACTTCGCCTCGGCGCCATGAACTCCCCCTTCATCGGCTCGAGCTCGCTGAAGACGATGAGCATCTACCTACTCCCAATCCTTTTCACACTCCGTCGCTTCGCTCTATAATGCTTCTCGAATCTCAATTCTTGCTCACGACACTTCTCCTCCCTCCTCGAGATTCTACGCTGGACCAAGATTCCCCCCTATTTTGTGCCCCGCCCCCATTTCGATGCCATGATGCCACGAGTACCGGTGCTTTGTATATTGTATTTTTTATACGATTCAGAGGATATAAAACTTTATTCACACTATCACTGCATAGAATCGGTCGACCTAAAAGCACAGCTGCAGGCCCTGAAAAAGGTGAGAGGTGGTGGTATACAGGTTTGTACAGCGGATCCTTAATGATGGCCGTGGGAGTGGTGGTGGCTGTGGTGGTGGGGGTGATGGTGATGTCCGTGGTGGTGTCCGTAGCCGTGGTCGTGGTGTCCGTGGTGGTGACCATCATGGTGATGATGCCCATGATATCCGTGGTCGTGGTGTCCGTGGTGGTGTCCGTAGCCATGATCGTGATGTCCGTGATGATGGCCGTGGTGATGACCATCGTGGTGACCATGGTGGCCATGATGGAGATCATGGTGACCGTGATGGCCATGGTGTCCATGGTGATGACCATCGTGATGGCCGTGGTGGTGGCCATGGTGCAGCTCATGATGACCGTGGTGACCATGTCCGTGATGATGGCCATATCCGTGGTCGTGGTGTCCATGGTGCTCATGGTGGTGAGGATGGTGATGACCATGGTGATGTCCATGATGCAGATCATGATGTCCGTGGTGACCATGGTGGCCATGGTGGAGCTCATGGTGTCCGTGGTGACCATGGTGAGGATGATGGTGATGTCCGTGATGATGTCCATAGCCATGCTCATGATGACCATGGTGCTCATGATGGTGAGGATGGTGATGGCCATGGTGATGTCCATGGTGGAGCTCGTGGTGGCCATGATGTCCGTGGTGGTGACCATCATGGTGTCCGTGGTGATGTCCATATCCGTGGTCGTGATGGTCATGATGGCCATGATGAAGGTCATGGTGGCCATGGTGACCATGATGGGGATGATGGTGGCCGTGGTGATGACCATATCCGTGATCATGGTGATGGTGTCCATGGTGAAGATCGTGATGTCCATGGTGTCCGTGGTGGTGACCATCATGATGTCCTTGGTGATGTCCGTAGCCATGATCGTGATGACCGTGGTGGTGTCCATGGTGGAGCTCATGGTGTCCGTGATGACCATGATGAGGATGATGATGTCCGTGGTGATGTCCATAGCCATGATCATGATCATGGTGGTGATGCGGGGCATGATGGTGATGATCGTGATGATGTCCATACCCATGATCGTGGTGTCCATGATGGTGATGTGGGTGATGATGATGTCCATGGTGCAGCTCATGGTGTCCATGATGTCCATGGTGAGGATGATGGTGGTGACCATCGTGGTGATGTCCATATCCATGACCATGATGTCCGTGGTGAGGATGATGATGTCCGTGATGGTGTCCATATCCGTGTCCGTGATGTCCATGGTGTGGGTGATGGTGATGCCCATGATGGGCCTTCACATGCTTCTTGTGATGCTTCTTCTTGTGGTGGTGCTCAACCTCCGACTCGGAGCTGGAGGACGAGGAGCTAGAAGACGAGGAGCTGGACGAGGAAGAAGAGGAGCTCGAATCAGACTTGGCGGCCTTGACGTGCTTCTTGTGATGCTTCTTGTGCTTGTGCTCCGGCTCCGAATCCGAGCTCGACGAAGAGGGCGACGACGAAGACGAAGAGCTCGACGAGGAGGACGAGGACGAGCTCGAGTCCTTGGCGGCCTTGGCGTGCTTCTTGTGGTGTTTCTTGTGCTTGTGGTCATCCTCTGATTCCGAGCTGGAGGAGGAAGAGCTCGACGACGACGAGGAGGACGAGCTGGAGGCGGCGGCCTTGACGTGCTTCTTGTGATGCTTCTTATGCTTGTGCTCCGGCTCCGACTCCGAGCTGCTCGAGGATGAGGAGCTGGAGGAGGATGACGAGGATGATGAAGACGAGCTCGACTCCTTGGCGGCCTTGGCGTGTTTTTTGTGGTGCTTCTTCTTGTGCTTGTGTTCTACCTCCGATTCCGAGCTGGAGGAGGACGAGCTAGAAGACGAGGAGCTGGACGAGGAGGACGAGCTGGACTCGGCGGCCTTGACGTGCTTCTTATGGTGTTTCTTGTGGTGCTTCTCTTCTTCGGATTCCGAGCTGCTCGACGAGGAGGAGCTGGAGGAGGAAGAAGAAGAAGACGAGGAAGAGGAGGAGGAGCTGGCGGCCTTGCGGTCACGGCGCTTCTTGACGTGCTTCTTGCGCGGCTTCTCCTCGACCTCCGACTCCGAGCTGGAGGAGCTGGAGGAGGAAGAGCTCGACGAGGACGACGAGGAAGAGCTGCTGGACGCTACGGCCTTGACGTGCTTCTTGTGATGCTTCTTGTGCTTGTGCTCTGGCTCCGACTCAGAGCTGCTCGAGGATGAGGAGCTGGAAGAGGAGGAGGAAGACGACGAGGACGATGAGGAGGACGAGCTCGAGCTAAAAAATTAGAAGTTTTTTTGGTTGACTAGGGACTTACCCAGAGTTGGCGGCTTTGTGGTGATGACCATGGTGGCCGTGGAGTCCCTCGGCTGGGTGGACAAAGTGGAGGAAGTCTGAAAAGAGTGGGGTTGAGCTGCTTCAAGGGAATGATCAACTCCTAGTTTAGCTTAAAGATTCTGGGAATTTCCAAAGCGGCTTATGCTAAGCCAATCTTAAGTCTAAGTCTAAGATAAACTTAAGTTAAGCTTAAACTAAGGCTAAGCTAAGCCTAAGCTAAGCCTAAGCTAAGCCTAAGCTAAGCTAAAGCTAAGCCTAAGCTAAGCCTAACTAAGCCTAAGCTAAGCCTAAGCTAAGCCTAAGCTAAGCCTAAGCTAAGCCTAAGCTAAGCCTTAGCTAAGCCTAAGCCAAGCCTAAGCTAAGCCTAAGCCAAGCCTAAGCTAAGCCTAAGCAAGCCTAAGCTAAGCCTAAGCGTACTTGACTTACCCGAGAAGGTGATATGATGATGGTCATGCTTGGAGTGGCGCTTGGCCAGCTTGTCGAACTCGTGCTCAAAGTCCTTTTTGTGGTGGCGATGGTGGTGGGGTCCGACCTCTTTCAGGGCAGCCTGGAAATAGACAAATATAATTATATAATTTGTCTTTTAATTTTTATAGCTTTTCAAAACTTTTTTGAAGATTTCGAAGCTGAAAATTCGTACCTTGGCCTCATCCTTGGAGATACGGCCGCTGCTGTTGCTGTCGTGGTTAGCGAAGACTTTCTCTGAAAATGGGAAGCTTAGGACAGTAGTTTTGTAAGATTCTGACCTATCGAAAAGTATCAAACATCCAAAAGCGACCGAAATGTATTTCAAAGCTTTTAACGGAACCGGCAAGGCATCACTGTGATTTTTTGGAACTGTTGCTTCTAGTTTTCCTAGCTTTCCTACGCACTAGTTTTTATTTCCATGGAATGGAATACCTTAACAACCGCGTTAAAATGCCTTTAATTGTTCTTAATTTTTTTTACGTTTCAAAAATAAGCAAATTCAAGAAAAAATTCAGGAAGGCTGGCCTATTTTAGAGGAAGAATTCGGGTTTAGTTTTGTCTTGCTAGCTTGGGCTTAGCTTAGCTTTGTTTCACTTAGGCTTCAGCTTATTAGTGGGCTTTTTTAGTGATAATCGATTTTCGACGCCTGACCGAGGCTACTTTGTGCAGAATTTTGCGCTGATTCGGAAACTTGGGAAACTGTTAAAACCCCCGGCGACACGGATAGATTCAAAAAGTCAGGGAGCCGCTCAGCGCGAAAAGCGAAAAAATTTGTCGAAATTGGGCCATTTTTGGCCTTTTTCGCGCTTAGAAGCTGTTTAACTTTTTTAATCTGGTCATATCGAGGTTTTGAGGCTAAATTCGGGATTAACGCAAAATGCTGCAGTGACGAAAACCGGCTCCCCGGTCGGCTTAGCTTAGCTTCGGTCATGCTCAGGTTTATGCATTGCGTAGCTTACTGTAACTCTTAGTAAATCACCAAAAATCAGAATATGTATAGCATTGCCCCCCCCATTCAAAAACTGACTGATCTGCTTGACGGTCAGATGATGGCCATGGTGGTGGTGCCGGTGGTGGCGTACGGTCATGGCGGTGTGGCTTCAGCTGTGACGACGACTGGAGTACCTGAGCCCCAGCCACGGGCCCTATTTATGCGCGCGGCTTATCAGTAGTACGCCTCTCTTTTTCTTGGGGGGAGTTGAGGATACGGTGCGTAAGCGAGCCAGGGGAGCCGGGCCGAGCTAGCACGCTCGGTCATGTGATCCCGCCCCCTTTGCTCGGTTGCGGTGCTCCTGATTCTGATGCTGCTGCGTAAAATTTTAACGGCGTCTCGATTAATGGGCCATTGGGGAGGGGAATCCGGGAGTCGTTATAGTGGGGGTGTCATCGGACCATTGGTCGGGCCAAAGATTTGGTGACTGGAGTAGTGGATGTTTGGGTTAGAGAGCGAGAGCGATAGATAGACAGAGAGAGAGAGAGAGGGAGAGAGAGAGAGATGCGTCGGGCAATCGGGCCATGCGTCGCGTATTTGCCGCCCGAAAAATTCATACCCGTGCCTTGCTTGTCCCTTTAACCCGCGTGTACGGCTCCAGCCCGACGGCGCGGCTGTGGATGATCATCAACGTCCGCGTGTGGAGCAAACAATTTCTCTTGTGACGAGAGCGCCAGAGCGACAGCGTCAGCGAGAGAGGAAGAGAGTGAGAGCGAGAGAGAGCAAGAGAGTGATTGAGAGTGAGTGAGATTGAGAGAGAAAGAGAGTGGGTGAGAGAGAAGAGAGTAAGTCAGAGTGAGAGAGAGCGAGGGTGAGAGAGATAAAGCGAGAGCTAGAGATCATAGAAACGCAACCCAACCGCTGCACGTTCAAACACCTACTACGCTATCTTCATCTGACACTCCGGACTGCACCTCCTTCATATCCATCAAAATCTGATGCCGTAATCCAGCCCACTAGCAGCTGGTTCCTCCTCAAAACTTCTTTTCAAACAGTT